AATAAAATAAAATAATAAAATAAAATAATAAAATAAAATAATAAAATAAAATAATATAATAAAATAATAAAATAAAATAATAAAATAATGATAAAATGTGATCCGTCAGTTTCATGATGCCGCAAAGCACAAACCAGGCCTTACCAAGCAAAGAATCAAACAAAGTGATCATGGTATGGGTCAGGTGGATGGGAGAAGTCTGGACCAAGACTTTGCAATGGTGGCGAATGAATTCCAACGACGGCTGAATGAGCCACATAAAAAGGTCATCAACCTGGAAAGCAAACCGGTTGAGAGATTAACTGAATCGCAGGACGTCTCCCTTTGACAATGAATAGGTAATAGATCCCGTCCACAGCCAGCAGAAGGACGAGAAGAGTCCTGCACTGCAGCAACACTGGCAGTGGTTGATGGGATCCAAAGTGTAAAGTTGGATTAGCACAAGAAATCGGTGTAGATTTAAGTTAATCTAGACACGGCGTGTCAAACTCAAGGCTTGGGGGCCGGATCCCTGGCCACTCCCATCCCGACCCCCCCCCAAGGTCAAACGCAATCTTGATGCAGCCCTCAATGAAACCGAGTTTGACACCCCTGATCTAGACTTTATAGTTGTGACAAAGATTCAAAGGGCTTTGGAGCTAGACCTGGTGAGATCCCTCATCTGACCAAATCCACCATCTTGTGACACTTCGGTGATTCTTAGATAATTTTATTACAACCTCCCCCGGCACAAAAACTGCACCAGTCATGTTTGAAAACTTTCCAAACCATTAGAGCTTGAGAAAGATTCTACATCATAAAGAAAAGCACCCTGAATTCACTTCTCAAACGAATTGTTGAAAAGTCCGCAATTTATTGGCATGGTTTACGCAAGAAGCAATCATTTCCATGGCTCCATGTAATCTCTTGAGAACTCAACAATTGACTCACAAGGAATCTGGTCACTAATCAATGCAAATAAACCTAACAGGACACACCTGACTGGCCCTTAACCCTTAACCACAACCGGAATTTCTAAAAATAGGGGTGTTCCGAACATTTTGGAAAACTGTTGCAGTCACTATGACTTCAGGCCTGTGGTTAAAGGGTTAAATTTAAATTCCCCCTTCCCCATCGATATTCAAATATCGAGTGGGAAAATAAAATGAAAGCCAGCCCACCAATTCGATGTGCACGTCGTGTAGATTTGAAGGTAGCATGTTCAGGTAAGAGTCTTTCAACGGTTTCCAGCCCAGCTGATGAGGCTCCATATAAATCATGCCACACCTTGAAGAAATGAAGAGAACTGAGTTGCACAGATTTGCTAGTTAAAAGGAGAAAAGAAAGGAGGCCTTCAAGAAAAGATTGGCGGCCAAGATCTCCTGCCGTGGACGGGAGGGTTGGACTAGAAGATCTCCAAGGTCCCTTCCAAGCCATCGATTCTGACCCTAAGAATTCAGATTTACCTGCTAACCGTTGCTGGGGAAGCTTGTTCAAGATCTTCGGGCTCAAAGATTAGGCTCATTTGTGCGCTCATCTGAATGATCTCCCCGCTCATCAAGCACAACTTCAAGGGGAAACAAAAGAAAAGCTATTTCAGGCCGGGGTGCACAAGAGTTTGCAACAGACTATCGAATATTTCTGCTATAGGTAAAGGTAAAAGGTAAATGTTCCCCTTGCACATATGTGCTAGTCATTCCTGACTCTAGGGGGCGGTGCTCATCTCCGTTTCAAAGCCGAAGAGCCGGCGCTGTCCGAAGACATCTCCGTGGTCATGTGGCCAGCATGACTCAACCTCGAAGGCGCATGGAACGCTGTTCCCTTCCCACCAAAGGTGGTTCCTATTTTTCTACCTGTATTTTTTACATGCTTTTGAACTGCTAGGTTGGCAGAAGCTGGGACAAGTCACGGGAGCGGTGCTAGGGATTCGAATC